TCCCTGAGAACAGCATTCCAAGAGCTAGTACATGATTGATCAGATTCAATAGCTCCCAAAGCTTCTGAGTAGGTATTTTATATGACCTCATCAAACAATTTACATTAGAAACATCAGGGTGGACATAATTCAGGATGTATCTGTATTAAGGTTTTTTCTTTTCTGTTCTTTTTTCTTATTTTTTTTAGTGCAACTGCATGCATACACTTTATGGCAAGAAATATATAGCATTTGCATAGATATAAGGCTTGGGTATAGTGAGGTTGTGGGTTCCTTGCATCAATATGCAAGTCCACAAGTTAGCCCTTTTTTTTTTAAATCTAAACGTTGTTATTTTAAATTGTTTAAACAAAATAATTTTGTTTTAGTTTTTCCTCCAACAACATTTTAGTAAAAAAATCAATTTTAAATAAAACTTGATCCAAACCAAATTTCAAATCGATATCAGGAGCCAGTTCAACTTATCCGGTGCTCATTCAGCAAATTTTCGCTCATGGCTGTGATAAATTTAGAATACATTTGATCAAATAAAAACTTAATTTAAACTGGATTGAATCATCTCTTCTACTTCTAACTAAATACAAATCAGAATCTTTTTCCAATCATGTCGTAAAACAAAGAACCATGCATGATTTGTTCTTGCCTTAAATACTATCTTCACTTGTTTAACACAATTTTAGATTTTAATTTAACAGAGTTGAGAGCTGTTGTTAAAGCTATTGAGCTCTTAGCCTTTAATTATCTCCTTATTATAAGCATTTTATTATTTAATTTGACTTTGTCAATGTCATTACCTGAATGCATAATTCTCACAATAGATCATAGATGTCACCTACACTCATGTCTTTCATGAGAGTAATTACATGGTAGAATACATGGTTAAACAAGAAATGCGGAGATAAGTAAATTTATTGATTGGTTTTGAATCATCCATAAGTCTGTGAGTCTTCTTATGTGTTTTCTACTGTTATGCTTGTGAGAATGTTAAAGGTTGATCTTCGAGGGGAAAGCTTCAGTTAGAAGGTCATTCTGATGATTATTAGCAGTTCTCCCCGGCAGTATTGCTTTCATTGCATTAATTGTGTAGATATATGTTGCTCTTTGGCTATTTTTGTCTTTCGTTTTTCTTAATCTGGATTGTTATCTTAGTATTAATCTGCCATAATATGATATTATGCAGACCATGTGTTAATCTCGTCTGCCAGCTTTTGACGTTTAATGAAATATTTATCTTTCAAAAAAAAAACCAGTATGTGGTAAAGAAAAAAAAATATCATATGAAGTCGAGATAAAGTGAATAGACTAAATGTGATGATCTCAAGTTATTACACACCAAGGAATTCCTCGTCAGAAAAAGGCCCTCGTCGTAAGGCAGAACAAGCTGGTAGCAAAACAATTAAACTCAAGTGAGTTGAGCTGGTAGAGATGGGTGGAGCGGGAGCTCGAGTCACGAAACATCATTAGAGATTACTAATTATGAAGAAAGGTGTGTTGGCAGGAGACAATCTTAGTTGTGTTATCATTAAAGTAAAGAGGTTTGGAGTTGAAAATGTGATTCCATGTAGAAAGTGGTAGTAAATAATGATAGCATATAACATGTCTTTATTTTTTGTTTTAAAAGCATTTCTAAGAAAAATTTAGAATATTAATATCAAAACTAATTCTTTTTAAATATTTTTAATAAAAAAATATTTAAAAAAAATTAATAAAATACTAAAAGAGTATTTAAAAATACGGTTACAATTATTTTTTAAAATATTTTTTGTTTAGAAATTATCAAAATAATTTTTTTAATTTTTATATAAAAATTATTTTTCAAATTAACATATTAAAATAATTTAAAAATATAAAAAATTAATTTAAAATAAAAAAATTATATTATATTTTTAGAACACAAAAGGAAACAGATTACTCCATTTACACTCGAAATTGTAATTTCATAAGCTACAGATTGCACAGTTCAAAACCCATTTTTCTTCCCTCTTTCTCCTGCACTTTATTTTTTTTCCCATAAATGTTGTCCACTCAATACTTTTTTGATCATGCATTGGGACTGTGAAAATTGTTCGTTTTCATTCAACAACAAATCGATGGGATGCCTCCAATTATAGGATCCACCACCAATCATGTCCCTTTTTAATTTATGGGCAATTCCGTACATCGAAATTATCAACTGAGGTTAGAGGGAGGTGCCCTTTACGCCAACCAGCTCCTTGTAGTTAAGAAAAAAGTAGTTGCTTCTAGCCCCAAAATAATGCGCACAGTGTTCTTTGATAAGCCAAAGATGCAAGTGTTTGATTAGATCTCTTATGGGACCTTGCCCCTTTCGCCCGCTAGAGCTATTGATTATTTTTGTAAATTGATTTAAATTATTTTTTAGTTTTTAACTCAAAGAAGTTATAGATTTATTTGATTATAAATATTTTTATTTAAATAAAAATTGTATTATTCAATCAAGTCAAAATTCTGATTTGATTAAAATTCATCATATGTAACTTATACCATATTTTTAAAAAATTATTTAGAGCTATTTTTACTAAACATATTTTTAAGTTAAAGTCATTTTAGTTTATCTTATTATAAGTTATTTATAGAAAACAACTTTTGAGCCATGAGTCTCACTGGAAGTCAAAAATTCATGTAAAACAAACTCTAAAGCCCCATCTAATACATACATGGAAAGGATCGATGGGCAGCCAATCAAACAATTAGTGAATTTGTCATAATTAATTATTACAGCTAAATTAAGGAGAAAATCTCAATGTAATTAACTCCTGGAGTGTTATCATTTGAGTCCTAGATCTAGATTTTATCATTCTTACTCCAAGTGCAATATAACCCCTCTGTTCATCAACTATTGTTGGTAGTTGTACATTGGTAATTAAGAATTTCCATCTAATTTGCATGTGCTGCTTTTGTTCTTCAATTCACAGTGCCAAAATAAGTCCCAATTTCTCATAAAGAAAAGTTTTAGCAATAAAATTATTATTAAAGTGGAGAATTTTACAGTGATTTGATGTTAAAATTATCATTTAGAACACAATGGGGATAAGTATGGCTCCATTTGTAGAAAAACTTATACATCACATCCAAATAAAATAAAGCACAAATTTGTTGAAATGTTTTAACTACCATTAACAACGGACGAATGAAGGGATGATGTTGTCTAATGTTGATTATATTTGAGAAAATTGATAAAATAAAAAGGTTTTGAACTAATTGATATTGGAATAAATAAATAGTTTAATTGATGATTAGATGTTTTTTTTTTATTAAGTGGGGAATAGACCTAAACTTACTTATACATCAATCAAGAATAGTTTTCTTTGAAAACAAATTTTCGGATGCAACCTTTATAGCAGAGTGAAAAAAAACTTAGTTTCAGTATCTAGAAATTGCACAAGGTAGCTCTAAATCTTCACCTAGTAATTGGACCAAAATATATAAATCTAAATTTGTGAAATTAAATTGGGAGCATGAAATATATAGGCAGTCCGTCGGTAGGTGATAGAGCCACTTCAATTTTAATCAGAGACAAACAAACATAGCATTATTTTTCTCGATGCACTAGAACAGGACAAACTGCTACAACATTAGAAAAGATAAATTCGGCGCCCAATTGATTAATTACCAAAAGCAGGAGACGCTTCTGTGATTTATTTAGTATTTGTTTTTGGTTGCTTCAGTGCCCTCCTCCCTTCCTCTTTCCCACCTGTCTTCCGCTGGTAATACACTATAGTTTAGTTTAATGTATCTTCTGAATGTTCTCTCATAAAATACTGCTACTGTTGCCAAACCAAACAAGAATCCAATAAGGTAGGTCACTGGTTGAACTAGCTTTGTTGGTAATGATACTTGCATATATTGTTAGAAAAATCAAGGGAACAAAAACGATTGCCTTACTTTATATTATCCATGAGTCCAGAAGAATTTACGAACGAGAAGAGCTCTAGGTTTTAGATTTTCACTCTTGATTTGTGTACTTGCGGCTACTTCTTGCTTCACTTCTTTCACGCCAAGTTCAACAATCCATCAAAATGAAGTTTATAGTTCTGATCCGGTCAAAGATAAATAAATAATCCAAGTAGGATAAAGGGATTCACATGATTTATTTTTTAAAGATTTTTAAATCTTAATACCTAAAAAATAAGTACATCTACTTAACTATCACGTTAATATCATAGTGTTATTTTAGCTTATAAATTGGTACGGGTGCCATAGCCTGCCTTTGGCGATGTTTCTACTTAATTGCTGCATATTACCATCTAATTAGTTAGCTATTCTTTAATTGCATCTTTTTTTTCTTCCTTCCTAATTACTGTAAAGACAAAAACAATTAATTCATGTTTCTACTTAATTGCTTCATATTACCGTCGATGTCTAATTAGTTAGCTATTCTTTAATTGTATCTTTTTTTTCTTCCTTCCTAATTACTGTAAAGAAAAAAACAATTAATTCGGTGATTGATTACATGGTTGTACTGTGTTTTTAAAATTTTTTAAAATTATTAATTTTTGATATTTTTAATTAACTTTAATATGTTAATATTAAAAATTAAAAAATATTATTTTAATATATTTTCAAATAAAAATTATTTTAAAAACAACTTTTATCAATATTTCAAACCATCTTTGAATAATTATAGGGGTACGCTCCTAGTCTCATCATCCTCGAGTTGGTTACGGAATGACAAACTGGTAGATGACAGTGAAATGGCAGCTGAGAAGGTTTTTCTTTCAAAACAAGACAGCTAATAAATGCAGGCTTGATTCAGTTTTTCATGGGCTTTTATGCTAATCTCATTAAAAAGAACCTAGTTACTTGCTTTCTTCTGTGTACAACACAACAGGGAAGCATGACTTGGGTTGAAATTTTCGAGTCATGTTACACAGTTGCTGAAATCAAGTGATTGTGCGACTTTCTGCCCGTCAATGCCACTATTTCTGGTACTTAACCATAACATGAATTTGATATTCAAAATTCTTTTTTCATGAACAAAATTGAGCAAATCGATAGTGATTTTTCTCTTTCAAAATCCAAATTATAATTCTACATCACTCTGCAATCTGTATTTACTTTAAAAGTAAACCCATGATGCCAAGAAATCATGACATATTTTACACATCAGTATGTACAAACAAGCAATACACTACCCCGCACCCATCATGGCAGGCAAAATCGCAAGAGCAAAATTACTCTACAACATAATTCGAGCAATCTGATTGTATCTTTTCTCTTCTTGTTGCCTTGATTTGATTTCTTCTGCACATCTCAGAGTCTTTTCTATATGGTATCCACCTCCAATGCTTACTTCCCTTTCTAAATGACAGCAATAGCTCTCAAAAACACTTACATTTACATGCAATTTGAAACCCATCAAGAACAAGAATTCAAGCTCCAGCTTGTTCATTACATTTGCAGTCAATCCCCCAACTCTTGCAAAATAAGAATTCCTGTAATTCCTGTTCAATAATAGATTCGTTTATATTAGAACACTAAATCCAAGAAGGAACTCAATGTTTGGAAGTTGTTTGCTTACAATCCGAATCATTTCCAAAAATCATAACAGAAACAGGAAAGAAGTTTCAGAAAACAAGGACAAAAGGAAAGACAAAGATAGAGATCTCACATGTCCTCAACGTATTTAGAAGCCACCATGATAGTAGTAATAAGAAGCCTATGTACATTTCTTGCGTCGATTCTAAACTCTGGATTAGCCTGACAAAACCGATCGATGTAAACATAGGCAACAACATAAACTGAAGGTCCTGCACGAGTGTATCGAAAAATTCTCTCAAGATACGATTGAATTGTCAAGTCTGGTGTCTCGTGGCAATCAAAGACTCGAGTTCTGGTATCTTTAGATAAAGCCCAGGAGCAGTTCTTGACAATTCTTTCATTCCTTGCCATGGTTCTCTCAATAAGAGAGGCAAGAACAGCAATGACTAGTGGGGTGTTCGAGTCATTTTGGTAGGAATAGGAATACAGATCAGATCGGAGTTTTCTTGGGGAAATTGCAAGAGAAGATGTAGCCATTACAGACCCTGGCTAGTCTTCAGAAGGCAGAGAAACAAAAACGATGGAAGTTCTGACTTCTTGTTGTGGAAAATGAAGGGTCTTGAAAAGGACTTTATACCAGAAGGACAGATTTAAAGTTCGGTACTGTCGGCTTGTGAGAGAGAGACGATAAGGGAGAAAAGATATCGGTCTTGTGAGGGTATAGTTGGAGGGAGTAAGTGCCCTCACTCAAAAAAAAAAAAAAAAAAACCTCTTTTTAACTCTTTTTTTAACCCCCTTTCCATGGGACAACAGGAAAGTCTTTAAGTTGTTGCTGGCTCTGTAAGTTAAATTGGAAAGTCCAAACAACAGGAAAGCAAAGTGATTATAAAAAGATTCAATTAATTTGTCGCTTTTTCTTTTTTATTTTAACAAAAAAAATATTTTTTTGATTATTTTCTTATGAATAATTATTATTTTTCCCTGTATTCTATTGGGTTTTTTCAACACAATCATGTGTTAAATTAGGAAATCAAACTAGCTGAGCAAAACTCGGGACAGAGGGACTTGGAAGAGACTATTATGGAATGCGGTTCTTCTAACATTAAATTTTTTTATTTAAAATTAAATTTTTTATATTTTTAAATTATTCCAATGCGTTAATTTTAAATATAATTTTAAAAAATAAAAATTATTTTAATATATATTTTCAAAAAATGTACTTTAAATTATAACACTATATATTGTGTAGATGCATGAGGTACGCCAATGAATAAAGAAAAGGAGAAATGACATGGAGTTTGGGCCATTTGGAAGGTGCATGGAAGGAAAGGCAGTATCATAATCATCTATTAAAAGATTTTACTGCCTCCTATTTATAAAGCAAAAGTACAGACAAAAATGATGGTGTATTATTACTTACAAATTTGTCCATCTGTCGACCTCACCGACAGCGGCCTTGGAATAGTAAGGGAACTAGTCATCGTCGCGTAACGGACTGCATTAATTTTGTTTTTTTTTTTAAGTTAAAAAAAACATTCACGAATTTGGTTAATGTTATATATATATATATAATTGATTTGATTTGATTTTAATAATTTTACCAGTTTAAAGATAATTTTGATTTCACTGTCAGTATATTTGAAAGAAACTAACAGATATTTGGGATTTATTATAGAAAAAGAAATACAATTATTGTGAATTGTAATATCGTCACATGTTCTTTTTTGGTACTCAAGTTTTTATTTTTAATTTTATTTTTTTAAAATTAGATTGACTTATGCCAGATTTTAACAATATTAAGGAAAAGAAATCAACATTCAATTAATACTTGATTTGGTATATATATATATATATATATATATATATATATATATATATTATTTTAAGACAATTAAATCTTTAAGGATAATTTGAAACAGAGAAAAATGCTGATAAATTGATGTGAGCAAAAATTAAAAAAGATGATGAACACATGTGCCACCATGTGAGAGAGCCCGCCACACATCAAAGATCCACACAGGGACCATCACCTTTGAAAATGTCCTTCTGTGGTACCATTCAAATTGTCTCAGCAAAACCTTTCTTCATTGGCAGCATGTGTAAATAGGAAGCCATTAGTTTGTCTCCGCTGAGCTATTCTTCTTTTCTTCTTTTTTTAGTCTCTTATTTCTCAGTTTTTGTGTCTTGTTCTATATATATATAAAAAAAAGAGAGTAAGGATTCAATTTGTTTTAATATTAAATTTAATTCTAATTCTTTTAGTTAATATGTTCCAATAGCAATATTCAGCAATAAAAAAAATTTTCCTGTAAAGAAATCCTTGTATCATATGTAGCACGTGTCTTTTAGGTACTTCCCTAGCAGATATTCAAAGGGATTGGGGTGCCCTTTTATATAGATTTTTTCAAGGCAATAATACTGTTATAATACTTTTATTTTAGGTTATAAAAAATATTCTCACGCGCTTTTTGGTGTACTTCATCATGATTTATATTTAAAACTTTTGGTTTATTAATTGTGCTTTTTTTTTTATCATATAATTAACAAAATTATTTTATATATTTTTAAATAAAAAGTTATTTAAAAAAAACATTTTATACCAATTCGAAACACCCCATTAACATCTTCATCGTGGAAATATCCGACAAGAAGAGGAATAACTTTCCATTGGCAAGGCAATTTTGGAGGACTGCTGTGAAATTGAGGGAATTTTCTATCATTTTGCATAATACTCATAGTTGCAGCCAATAAGGGATTTTCTTTTCTTGTCAGATAAAAAACATCTAATTTGAGCCTCGTCATTAAACCTCTCTGATTTTATTTTATTTTTTGCTTGATTTTCCTTTGTTTTATTTGTTGTCAATTTGGGTTTTATCTTTGATTTGATTTGATTTTTTCTACTAGATCTAGATATTTTTCTTACACTTAACCCCTAGAGTTTGGAATCTGAGTTTGGTCGAATTACTCGTATTATTAAAACTTAAGACGAGGTCAAACAGGTTTCGTTTCAACACAATGGTCACTTAAGCAAATAGATATACAGAATGCGTTCCTACATGGCAGGTTGGGGGGGGGTAGTATACATGTCTCAATCGTAGGGCTTTGTTCTCCCTCAATACTCTCATCATCTTTGCAGATTACATAATTTTTTTTATGGTCTCAAGCAGGCGGGCCTGGTTCTCTTGTCTGAGTAACAAATTACATGATTTTGGTTTTACTGATAGCGAAGCTGATAATTCACTATTTATTAGGAGAAAGGATGCTGCTCTTACTGTGCTCTTATCTATGTTGACGATATCCTCAAAACCGGTTCTTCTGCCACCGTCATACATCATTTTATTCGGGATTTTACGGAGCAATGATGGTCGACTGTACTTGACTCAGCGCAAATACATTATTGATCTTCTTTATACAATGAATATGGCTGTAGCAAAACCTTGCAGAAGTCCTATGCCCACCACTTGCAGATTGTCCGCGACTGATGGGGTTACCTATTCTGATCCATATATGTACGGACATGATGGCAGCTTACTGTACCTGTCCTTCACAAGACCTGACCTTTCTTTATCTGTTCACAAAGTCAGCAAGTTCACGCACAATCCTTTGGACACTCACTGGCAGGCTGTTAAGAGGATATTATGGTATCTAAAGCATACCATCTCAACTGGTTTGTATCTTCAGAAATCTTCATCATGCAATCTTCAAGCATTTTTCGATTCTGATGAGGCGACTTATCACGATGATCAATGAGCAGTGGGTGCCTATTGTGCTTTCATGGGCAAAAAACTCATCTCTTGGCACTGTAAGCAACAATACACAGTTGCTAAAAGTACAGAAGCAGAATATAAGTAACTTGTCGATGCTACCTCTGTTCAAACTATCCTTGTATCTGACTTTGTTATATAACAAAATACAACATCTTCAACTCAATCATAATTCTTCTCTGCATCTATTTTCTGTTACACCTCTGTTCTTTATTGATCATTATATGCGCGGGCACATTCATGCTAGGTGATTCCATCCTTTCATGCCACTTTGAGATCTTATATGCAACGAATAAATAGGTCAATTTATGCATCTGCAGATCCAATTCACACTTTCAATTACATGGAATGCTGGAGTAAGTGAATCGTGTAGTCACAGTTACACTACGCATCCGCCAATCTACATTTTATTACGTACTATTAGTGCAGACGCCCAAGAATTGAGAGAAGTGAACTAATGGTTTAGAGAGCTTGTTTTTCTTTCAGTAAGGGGCAGAATAAACAAGGTGCAGGCGGAGCCACAGCCCCATCCGAAGTTCAGAATAATTTCTGAGTTTTATAAGTTATTTCATATAAGTTTTTATAACAGCGATAGGTTATAAATAAATAAATGTTAGTTCAGCGAATAAATAGTTTATTTTCAATTGGATTCGCGTTTGTTTTTGTGATTAATTTGAAAAAAATATCAAATTAATGTTTTTTAAATATTTTTTTAATAATTTTAATATACTAATATAAAAAAATCTAAAAAAAAATATTTTAATATATTTTTAAATGAAATTTCTTTTAAAAAATATTATACTGATATCAAACACACGCTAGCTATGTGTTTAGAAATGTGATAAATATTACTTTTCAAAATAATTTATACTTTAAAATATATTAAAATAATATATTTTTTATTTTTTAAAATTTACTTTTAATACCAACCCATCAAAACAATTAAGAAAAAATAAGTAATTTAAAACTCCAAAAAACATGTGCATTTAATTTAATTTAGAGGAAGGTCCACCAAAAAATTATACCACCCAAATCCAAATAGGCTGTGTGACCCGCTACAAAATTTAATAGGCCCAATGGAAAGAGTTTAAATTGAGAGGGCTGAATATCTATCTGGCCCAGCTTGTGTTTTGGTGCACCAGCCTCGTATCATCCACAGTCCACAAAATATCTTGCCGTTCATTAATATCATGAAAATATTTTCTTGTAGATTTACTATATGGGCTTTAGTTTCGTAGATCGATATTTATTTCATTCTTTAAATCTAGTCAAATGCATATTAATTTCTTTGTTTTCTAGTTTCTTTTTAAATAATTCTATTGATGCTAATTATTTACATTGGGAAAAAATTTATGAAAAAATTATTTTACTTGAAATATAGAAAGTAATATTTATTTTATTTATTCATCAATCTCTTATCGTCTCCTTGGTCACGGGGAAGAACTGCTCGCCATGTGAAACCGATACAAAATATCATTTGGGGTGAGTTGTTGTGCATGTATGATATTATAACAAAGAAAAAACATTATTATTATTTTCATATAAAATGGAAAAACTAAATGCAGCGTGTTTCTCGATTTCAAAACAGCTAGATATTTTGATATCTTCATGACGAAGGAGATGCATGCACCAAAATCTATCTTTCATTTTGCATGACATGCAAAATCTACAACCCGCCTCACGGAGCCAAGGTTGACATTTTCTAGACATATACAGCACGTGTGTTTAGCATTAGATACATTTTTTTTTAATTAAAGTGAATATATCAATTAGATTTTATGTAACTCAATTAATTTTACAGATTTTAAAATTAATAGTTATATAAATTTTTAATAATTTTAAAGTTTATAAAATTTAAATTAATAATTTCTAAAAAATCAAAATCTAAAATAAAAATAATTAAA